GTCACAGCAGTGTCAGTGGAGGCAAACGGCCACGGAGTAGAGCACCAGCTCCACTGCAGCCTACCACCACGGCCAGTAGGGTGCCGGTGTGCACGGAGGAAGTAGCAGTCAGCCAGTGAGGAGTAGCGGGGGCAAAGTTTCCTACTCGGCGGTGTGGCAATTTTTCGTCAAGCCGCCCAAGGAAGTAAACGTAGCCGTATGTCGACTATGTGGCCAGAAAGTCAAGCGTGGCCAGGGGGCCCATGTTGGGACTACAGCGTTGCGTCAGCATATGCAGCGTACGCCATTCGGTGGCCTGGGAAAAACCGTGATAAAGATACGGCGGTTCTGCCTGCCCCAGCCCCCGCTCCATCACCCGCTCCGTTACTTGCTCCGTCACCCGACGTCAATCGCCCTCTATCAGCCAGTCAAGGCTCCAACACCTCTGCTGAGGGGAGTTGTCGCTCGTTGGCATCTTCCGCTCGTTCAGATGCTCCTTCTCCTGCTACTCCTCTTCACGGATTCCGTCAGCAGTCTTTCTTGGAATCCGTTTCCAAGAGACAACAGTTTGCAAGCACGCACCCCGACGGTGCAGAAGCTGAACGTCCTCCTGTCCAAGTTGCTGGTGCTGCAGTCCCTCCCTTTTCCAAGTGGTGGACTCAGCACCTTTCCGAGAAATGATGGCTTGTGCTTGGCCGAGCCACGGTGGAGAGTGCCAAGCCGGCATTTCTTCGCCAAAAAGGCAGTGCCAGCCCTGCGTTCACATGTAGAAGAGATGGTGGGCCAGTCTTTGAGCATGTCGGTCTCTGCCAAAGTGCACGGCAGCGCCGACGTGTGGAGCTGTAACTACGGTCAGGGGACAGTACATGTCATTTACGGCCCACTGGGTGAACGTGGTGCCGTCACAGCCGCACCAGCAACTTGGACAGGTCACGCCGCTTTTGCCTCCACGTTTGCACGTCCTTGGTCCAGCAAAGATGTCCGCCTCTACCACCTCTTCTTCCGCCGTGTCCTCAGCCGCACCCCCGTGCCAAGTCCCATTACCCGACCGGCATATCACATGTGCAGGGCGCAACGGTGTCACGCTGTGCTGCACCTGGTATGCCTTGGCGAACGTAGTCACACAGGGGAGGAACTTCTGAGTGTAATGAACAGAGAAATCGACAGATGGCTGTCTCCGCGCAAAACTGAAAATCGGAACCATGTTGACCGACAACGGAAAGAACATGGTGTCTGCTCTGCATCAAGGAAGGTTGGTGCCATGCACCATGCATGGCTCGCATGTTTAATCTGGTTGTCAAGCGGTTCCTAAAATCCACCATCCCACTGCAAGACATCCTTAAAATGTCAAGTAAACTTTTGCATGCATTTCAGCCATTCCTACACCGCAAAGCACACCCTCCTTGAGCTGCAGCGGCAGAACAGAATTCCACAGCATCGCCTGATCTGTGACGTTGCAACAAGGTGGAATTCAACCCTACATATGTTAGAACCGCCTTTACGAACAGCGAAAGGCCATCACAAGATTTCCTGATGTTACAAGCGGATAAAGGTACTCCCCTGTGTAACTTAGATGTCAGCCATTGGCAGCTCATGGCGTGACACCTGCCGCTTGCTCAGGCCCTTTGAGGAGGCCACGCTATTCGTGAGTCAGCAGGACTATGGGATGAACGACGTCATTCCTCTGTTGCACGTCCTGGAACAAATGCTGTTAACAATGGTTGGTCAGGGTGCGGTAGACGTGGCGCACAGATCTCAACGCCACATGACCCCTGTGGGGGCAGGACAGGAAGAAGAGGAGGAGGTAGAGGAGGACATTGGTGCTCAGGAATTATTGAGTGAAATGGGTGGTTTTTCCACTCAGCGGACAGGAGTGGAGGAGCAGGAGCATCTGGTAGAGGAGGAGGAGGAGGAGACAGAGGACCCAGACGCACCGTGGCAGTATGCTGTGGAGATGGAGGCAGGGAGTCCCTCGCATTCCTTGGCACAAATGGCCCATAGCATGCTCGGTTGCTTGCGTAGCGACAGCCGAATAATAACCATCAGACAGAGGGATGACTTTTGGCTGTCCACCTTGTTGGACCCTCGCTACCGTTAAAAAATGGTGGCCTTTTTCACACCTGCTGAGAGGGAGGCCAAAATAAAGTACTATAAAAACCACCTATGTAGTCAGTTGGTCTCTGCCCTTTCTGCGCCAACGTCCATCCAACAGACACTGTGGGCCCTGTGCGCTCGCGTTCCGCTGCCATGGCAGCAGGGGAGGGGTGGGGTGGTAGGAGCAGTGGCAGCTCCACCAGCAGCGGCTGCCTCAGTCTGCAGTCGATGATGAGTAGCTTTCTTCACCAGCGCAGTGAGGAAACTACTAACCAGCCGCAGCAGCAGCAGCAGCAGCATCAGGTGGACCTGGAGCAGGACCTCAAACAACAGGCTCGGGCCTACTTGGACAGCACCCTGCCAACCGAGGTAGACAATCCCCTGACTACTGGGCAACGAAACTTGACCTTTGGCCCCAACTAGCTGAATTTGCCCTTGAAAGGCTGTCATGCCCGGCCAGTAGCGTGGCATCAGAGCGCGTGTTTAGTGCGGCAGGAGGGTATTGTAACTCCGCGGAGGACACGACTGTCCACCCAAAGTGTGGAGAGACTCACGTTTGTGAAAATGAATCAGGCGTGGATTAGTCTGGATTTCAAACCACCAGTTCCTGACACAACTGACTAAATCCGCCATGAATCATGCCCCAAACATGTTATTATTTTTAACATAGGCCTCTGTATGGCCTTCAATTTAAGCTGCTTACGCTTCGCCACTCTGCCATGGGCCCCTGTACCGCCTCCTCTTGCTGCTGCCAGGTCCAGAGTGTGTCATGGGTCCCTGTACGGCCTCCCATTGCTGCTGACTTCATCGCCAGACTCTGCCATGTGCCACTTTCAGGTCTCCTTACACTGTTGGTGGGTTCCATTTTGTTATAGGGTGCTGTATGGCCTTCCATTGCTGCTGCCTCCACCGCCACCCTGCGCCATGTGCCTCTGTTGTCTGCTCACGCTGCTGACGGCTTCCGCTTTTTAACCGAGGCCTGTGTTTGGCTTCCGAATACTGCTGCATCCACCGCCACTCTGCGCCATGTGCCTCTGTCGTCTGCTCACGCTGCTGACGGCTTCCGCTTTTTAACCTAGGCCTGTGTATGGCTTCAGAATAATGCTGCCTACACCGCCACCCTGCGCCATGTGCCTCTGTCGTCTGCTCACGCTGCTGCCAGGGTCCATACTGATTCATGGCCCCCTGTACCGGCTCCTCATGAACGTGGTTCAGCGGGTTTGCATCACTTAACGGCAAATCGTTGACAAACGCTGGGACGTTCAGTGTTGTGCGCATTAAGCCAGACACCAAAGGGCAGCACAGACCTGTTATTACTCGCTCAAGCATGGCTGAATAAAAAAAGTCTCTACCACAAATTGGACCCCAGACCTGCCCAGGTCTCGTAAGTAGATTGCACGGAGGAGTAGAGTTCGTTATTTGGAATTAACTGTGAGGGACTTTTAAACCTAGGGCCTGTGTATGGCCTTCAATTGAAGCTGCTTCTGCTCCGCCACTCTGCCATTGGACTCTTGATAGTCGTCTCCCCACGCTGCTGCTGGGGGACTTTTTAACATAGGCCTCTGTATGGCCTTCAATTTTAGCTGCTTACGCTCCGCCACTCTGCCATGGGCCCCTGTACCCGCCTCCTCATGCTGCTGCCAGGCCTGTAATCTGCCATGGGCCCCTGTACCGCCTCCTCATGCTGCTGCCAGTCCAGAGTGTGTCATGGGTCCCTGTACGGCCTCCCATTGCTGCTGACTTCATCGCCACACTCTGCCATGTGCCACTTTCAGGTCTCCTCACACTGCTGTGGGTTCCATTTTGTCATAGGGTGCTGTATGACCTCCCATTGCTGCTGCCAGGCCCGTAATCTGCCATGGGCCCCCGTACCGACTCCTCATGCTGCTGCCAGGCCCGTAATCTGTCATGGCCCCTGTACACCGCCTCCTCATGCTGCTGCCAGGTCCAGAGTGTGTCATGGGTCCCTGTACGGCCTCCCATTGCTGCTGTCTCCATCGCCACACTCTGCCATGTGCCACTTTCAGGTCTCCTCACACTGCTGGTGGGTTCCATTTTGTCATAGGGTGCTGTATGGCCTCCCATTGCTGCTGCCTCCACCGCCACACTGTGGCTCCACACTCTGGTTTTGGCCCCGTGACTGCCCCAAATGAGTGAAGTGTGCGGTGATTCTAAGATCGACGGCACTCATCTGCATGTCATACTGACTGACAGTATTATTTCTCTTCCACCAGCAACTCCAAGGGCATTTAAATTAAAGGTACAGTGTTCTGCACTAATATAAAGGCTCTCTGAAGCCTAGAAACACCCTTTTTTACACGTTAAATTCGCAGCGAATATATTCGCGCCTCGAATCGAATTTATAATTCCGCGAATTCGCGAATCAGTCCGAATCGAATTTTTGAATAATTCGCTCATCTCTAGTTAAAACCCTTCCTTGCTGTATCCAAAAAGAAAAAAGGTTTTGCCAACAGTTCTACTTTAACCGCCTCCCACCCGCCATATAGTAATTGAACAGGTGACGGACGCAAGGTGGTTCTCTCTCGTTCTGGGAGGATGTCATATGACGTCTTCCCATTCTAACCGCGCATGCCGCGGCTCCCGAAGCGTGCAACGCGGTCGATCGGCGATGCGCTGTGTCCCTCGGACACAGTGGATCACCGATCCACGGAAAGAGCCGACGATGTCAGCTCGGTCATGTGATCAGCTGTATCCAATCACAGCTGATCACATGTAAACAGGGAAATGCCGGTTATCAGCATTTCTCTCTCCCCCCGAGCTGTCACGCTGACAGCTCGTGAGGAGAGGAGAGCCGGTAATCTGCATTTCTTGGAGGGGCATGTACATAGATCATCAGAGCACTGATGATCAGTATGCCCTGATGATCTGTGTAGACCCCAGCAGCGCCACCAGTAAGTGTCCATCAGTGCCAGCTCTCAGTGCTCATCCATGCCACCTGCCAGTGCTCATCAGTTCCACATTTCAGTGCCCATCAGTGCTACATCAATGCCACATATCAGTGCTCATCTGAGCTGCCTTTCAGTGTCACCCATCAGTGCCAGTCAGTGCCACCTATCAATGCCAGTCAGTGCCACCTATCAGTGCTGCCAATCAGTGCCATTTATCAGTGCCAGTCAGTGCTGCATATCAGTGCAAGTCAGTGCCGCCTATCAGTGTGCATCAGTGCTGCCTATCAGTGCCGCATAACAGTGCCAGTCAGTGCCACCTTACAGTGCCAGTCAGTGCTGCCTATCAGTGCCAGTTAGTGCCGCCTTTCAGTGCCACCTATCAGTGCCGCCCTATTAGTGCTATATATGAGTGCTGCCTTTCAGTGCCCATCAGTGATGCCTGTCAATGCCCATCAGTGTCACCTACCAGTGCCTCCTCATCAGTGCCCATCAGTGCCACCTATCAGAGTCCATCAGTGCAGCCTATCAGTGCCCATCACTGTAGCCTCATTAGCGCATATCAGTGAAGGAGAAAAATCACTTATTTACAAAATTTTATAACAAAAACTAAAAAAAACCACCAAAATAAAGCTCTATCTGTCACAAAAATATGATAAAAATTTCATATGGGTACAGTGTTGCATGACCGCGCAATTGTCATTCAAAATGCAAAAACGCTGAAAGCTGGAAATTGGCCTGGGCAGGAAGGGGGTATAAGTGCCCGGTAGGCTAGTGGTTAAGTGCTCATGTACACTGCAGCTGATAAACTGACGTTTAGGAGCTGTTCAGCGTTTTTTTTCAGCAGCCCCTGAACTCTCCCTAATGTTTTTATTATGTGTCCATGTACACGTCTTCGTTTACAATCGTTTACAGGCAGTTGAGTTTACAGTCGTTTTTTTGAACGCAACAAACCTGCGTTCAGACGTCGATTTTATCAACGTTTCAAACGCAAAACGCTTGTAAACGCGGCTAAACACGTCTAAACACGGCAAATGGCATTTATAAGTGTAGGGAACTGTTTATTTTTATACACTAGTTGTGGTTTGTTTACATCCATATACAGCCACTACCATAGAGGTCCCATTACAGACAAGTCCCTAGGTGTGCTTCCTGCCCCTACAAGGAGGTCAGGAAACCCCAGGATGTTATATAGTTGTTTTCCAGGAAGTATCAGGCAGAGGGTTCCAGCCTGCCATGTGCTGTGTATCTGGGGAGAACTGTGTGGTAATTCTGTGAGTAATGATCCAGATTAACAAGGCTGTTATCTATGTAGTTGTTACTGAAGCAGATTAGGTCTGCCTCTGTTATATTTCAACTTCTCTGTATTGGAACCCTAATAACTCTGTAGAGAGAGATTTGTGGTTCATTATCATTATTCTATTTACACACTGCAGAATCCTTATAGTTGTCTATATACAGTCAGGTCCATAAATATTGGGACATCAACACAATTCTAACATTTTTGGCTCTATACACCACCACAATGGATTTGACATGAAACAAACAAGATGTGCTTTTAACTACAGACTGTCAGCTTTAATTTGAGGTATTTACATCCAAATCAGGTGAACTCGGTGTAGGAATTACAACAGTTTGCATATGTGCCACCCACTTGTTAAGGGACCAAAAGTAAATGGGACAGAATAATAAATTATAAATCAAACTTTCACTTTTTAATACTTGGTTGCAAATCCTTTGCAGTCAATTACAGCCTGAAGTCTGGAACGCATAGACATCACCAGACGCTGGGTTTCATCCCTGGTGATGCTCTGCCAGGCCTCTACTGCAACTGTCTTCAGTTCCTGCTTGTTCTTGGGGCATTTTCCCTTCAGTTTTGTCTTCAGCAAGTGAAATGCATGCTCAATCGGATTCATGTCAGGTGATTGACTTGGCCATTGCATAACATTTCACTTCTTTTCCCTTAAAAAAACTCTTTGGTTGCTTTTGCAGTCTGCTTTGGGTCATTGTCCATCTGCACTGTGAAGCGTCCAATGAGTTGTGAAGCATTTGGCTGAATGTGAGCAGATAATATTGCCCGAATCACTTCAGAATTCATCCTGCTGCTTTTGTCAGCAGTCACATCATCAATAAATACAAGAGAACCAGTTCTATTGGCAGCCATACATGCCCACGCCATGACACTACCACCACCATGCTTCACTGATGAGGTGGTATGCTTAGGATCATGAGCAGTTCCTTTTTCCTCTCCATACTCTTCTCTTTCCATCACTCTGGTACAAGTTGATCTCGGTCTCATCTGTCCATAGGATGTTGTTCCAGAACTGTGAAGGCTTTTTTAGATGTTGTTTGGCAAACTCTAAGCTGGCCTTCCTGTTTTTTGAGGCTCACCAATGTTTACATCTTGTGGTGAACCCTCTGTATTCACTCTGGTGAAGTCTTCTCTTGATTGTTGACTTTAACACACATACACCTACCTCCTGGAGAGTGTTCTTAATCTGGCCAACTGTTGTGAAGGGTGTTTTCTTCCCCAGGGAAAGAACACTTCGGGTCATCCACCCACAGTTGTTTTCCGTGGTCTTCCGGGTCTTTTGGTGTCGCTGAGCTCACCGGTTGCGTTCCTTCTTTTTAAGAATGTTCCAAACAGTTGTTTTGGCCACGCCTAATGTTTTTTGCTATCTCTCTGATGGGTTTGTTTTGTTTTTTTCAGCCTAATGATGGCTTTGCTTCACTGATAGTGACAGCTCTTTGGATCTCATCTTGAGAGTTGACAGCAACAGATTCCAAATGCAAATAGCACACTTGAAATGAACTCTGGACCCTTTTATCTGCTCATTGTAGTTGGTATAATTAGGGAATAAACACACACCTGGCCATAGAACAGCTGAGAAAACCAATTGTCCCATTACTTTTGGTCCCTTAACAAGTGGGTGGCAACATATCAATGGTCTTAAAAACTGTTGTAATTCCTACAAAACCGTTCACCTGATTTGGATGTAAATACCCTCACATTAAAGCTGTCAGTATGCAGTTAAAGCACATCTTGTTTGTGTTTCATTTCAAATCCATTGTGGTGGTGTATAGAGCCAAAAATGTTAGAATTGTGTTGCTGTCCCAATATTTTATGGACCTGACTGTATATATATATATATATATATATATATATATATATCAAGTGTTTTCACCAGCATAAGACTGTCAGGTGAACTTTCTGTTAATTGCAGTGTATCTTTGCAGCCTCTTTGCTTGAAGAGCCTTATTGGTCTGGATCTCCTTTTAGCTAGGATTAGCATAGGGAGTGTTGGATGATTAGGCTAGAGGTAGGTTAGGCATCCGACGGCCACTTAGACAGATAGAGAGCCCGGTTGCAGTGACAGCCCAGTTTAGGGATATGGACTAAGAGTGAGGATAGATAGAGCATTTTTATCCTTTTAGGTGACGCATCGCTGATCATCAACAAGCAGTGCAATCATCCGCATTTTACTTGGACGCCCTCACAGCATCTAAAGTGGAAGCGTGCATCTTATGGACTCTCACCTCTCCAGGGGCCCCTGCAACCGGACTGAGCTATAACCCATGGTTGGAGGTATTCTGTATACTACATGCACATATACCCGGGTATAATTGCAACCTCCCAATTTATGCTAAATTGTAATTCCTGAATGTTATTCTTATGCATCCTGTTTTATGTGGCTGCTTTATATAAACTTTGCATTAATCTCATACAGGTGTGGTGACATGTTTATCATGTTAGAAATATAAGCTGGGTGCATTAATACTGCTATGTATAGTTACTTTAAGTTGTCTACCTGTTACATTCCTAGAAAGGGGTGAGTCTCCTCAATTGCAGGATCCCTATTCTAGGTGGAGGCACTGCCATTTGTATTATCACAAACCCCCCTCTTCCATATAGCGAAGGCTCAGGATTGCCTACTCATATACAGGTTAGCGCCATAGCTTGTTTGGTGTGGGTCATTTCACATAACCCCCCAAAACAGGGCTACATAAGCAATTGCGGTTTAATTTTTTTTTTAACTCTTCCAGTTCCTGATGCTGTCCAGAGCCTTTTTTCATCATGAAAAATGCATTCAAACGCATTTTCAAGGTGCTCAGATGGACAAAACACTGCCAAAGGATGTTCCTACCAAACTTGTCCCACATTGAAATGACCAATTCACACCTCAGACCTCTCCCACCCTTGGAAACAAAAGATATGTTAATGACCATTCAAAATGTCTGAAAATCTCTAAAATGGGACACAGATTGCAAAAAAAAAAAAAAAAATCAAACGGTTAGTTAGAACCCTCCCTTGCTCTATTTAAATTAATAAAAATTTTTGCCTGTACTGTAGTTCTACTTTAATGGTTTGTATATGGATCACTGCTGTTAACATTTTTTGATTACTGAATCAAGTTTTTCCATAGGTGCAATATTTAAATTTTGTATTGCCACCACCAACTCCTGTAAACATTGAATAGGACTGCTCCATTGAAAACTAGCAACAAAAAGGCAAGCTAATCACAGGGATTCCTATACAACACTTGTCTCTAAAAAGTGTACAGAGAATCTGACAATAACATGTAGACCACCATCTAGAAATTACACACTGGTAACATGATCAGTGTGTGCGTGATGTTTATTTCTGCACACCAATTGTGGGCACGAAGTGGAGGGGAACACTCTTTGTACTAGGTCTAGCATAAGATTTTTCTGCTTTTGATGGAGCGATCAATCAACCACATAATGCATTGAGCAGTTGGGGGCTCATCCTGATCCTGTGCATATTCTTTCTTCTTCCTTGGGCACATTTTTCTACTGCCTCTTTACTCCTTTGTTGTCTCTGCATCTCACTGTTTGGTTTCTTAAATATATTGTAGAGAAGTCTGATTAAGTCACATATTTTCTGATATATATATTTAGTAATTTTCTCTTTAGACTATACAGTATACAATGGTGTCTTGACATTCACCATTTAACGCTTACCCACATACATTTTTATCTCAATTTTTCCTTTGTTCCTTTGTGTCTATCTTATTCTATAGAATGACAACTCAATATGTATTGGGACATTCAGGCTTACTTAAAAATTATACACTTTGCTGTTTTTATAACTGGATGTATTTATGTATGAATCATTGTATACTCTGTTGTATGATTTGTTACGATTTTATGAGACAAGGTTTATTAATTCAGAACTAAGTCTGTTCCTTATTTTCCTTGCCATGGGATGCTAGTTCACAAAAAAAAAGAGGGAATCTATATGTTTATAAAATTTGTTTTCTCTGTCTCTTGTCTTACCTTTCTTTTTGCATGATAAGTGAATATTTCCTTTTGCTATATTTTTATGTATATTTGTGGCTATTGCTATCAATATAAGTTGTTTTCTTTTCATTCCTCTTTTTTTTCATTCCTTTTTTTTTTCACATCAACTCATGTAATTTCTGGTTAGTCATTACATTTACAGTCCAGTGTTAGTAAGACGTCTGTAGATCATGTGCTTTGCAAAATCTGACATATAAGTCCTTTTAGTATTTACATCTAAATGCATATTTTGAATATTTTTTAGTGATGACAGTATTTGGTACCTGTTTGCATGTGAGAGGAGAAAAAGACTAGTGTATGGATTCAGTCTGATAGAGATTTACCATTTCAAGGTCTTTTGAAATAAATATTGAGAAGGCCTGAATATCCCCTACTCTGCAAGTTGCTGTTTTGGCTAGGAAGAATGCTTTCTTGATTATTAGGAGTTTGAAAGAGAACACTTTGATCAGAGAGAAGGCCTTAAATGTGAAGTTGCTTTCACATCCATGGATGGATTAACCAGCCAGATGGAATTCATAGAAGGGTGAGAGTGCTGAAATCCTGACTTACGGGGTGCTTGGCTTCATCCTGTTGTTTAATCCTTAATGCTTTAAAAAGTCTAAGGAAATCAAAGAGAAAGTAGGAGCACACAAATGGTCAACCTCCTCTCTACAAAAGCTATAACAATGATTCCAAATACCAAAATTTTGAGGATCTTTTGCCCAAATGCCAGGCAGGCAATATGAGTTTCTCTATTAATTAATTAATGCAGAATTGGAGAAGGTCATGTGTACATGGGAGAGGAATTGGTTCTGTCATTGACAAGCACTAAAAAAGTGTAAACCATGCTCTCCTGGGCCATTTAAGACCTATGATGATGACTTCTGCCTGCTCCCCCCAAATTTTCTTCAAGACCTTTGGGAGAATGGGCAGAGGGGGAACCCATAAGAAAGAGCAAAGTCCCACCTCTGGCTGAAGAAATCCAACTCCTTTGGGAGATCCCTCTTGTTTGTGGAGAAGAACCTCTGCATTGCTGTATAAGAGGTACTGGTATGAGAACTTCATGGAAGAATATCAATTTCACTGCCTTTTCCATGGGAAGAGGACTGTCTTAGTGTCACTTTGAAAACTTGAGGTGGTGTAACCAACCTTGTGACCTGGAGTATCCATGGATTCAAAGTGATCTTCTCATAGCCTTCTAGGAGCCAAGACTTAGTTCTTAAATTAAGCCTTTGTGGGGCAAAACTTATTTTTCCTCATCTGGATTTCTGCGAAACAAAGGGAATCAGTATTACCTTTGCTTTGGAATCAGTATTACCTCATGAAGAATAATTCCAGAGCACTCTTCTAGCAGAGGTGGATAAAGCTGCTCTTTTAGCAGCAATATGATTATTTTCTAATGATGTGTTGCAGATGTAATCTACTGCCTTGATGAGAAGCAGTAGAGAATCTAGGATCTGCTACCTGGGGGTACCTTTCTGCAAATGCAATTATAGCTGCGACATTCAAATTCTTTAGGACCTAGTGACCTGGTGGTAATGCCAGGATGGAGGAGCATAGTATCTGCTTCCCCAGTTCTTCTTAAAGTCTTACTAAACCCACAAAAGTAAAAACATACTGTATATGCAGTAAAGCATGCTTGGTATACTCACTGTGGAACCTAAGGGGTTATTCCTCTGCATTGTTTAAAAATGCTGTTTGACCCTGACTTCTCTGATCCTTCCCTTCTTCCAATGTCCCCTCTTATCTCCTGATAAGACACATTGTGTGGAGACACTCTGCACATGCTCAGTTTGGTATGTATATCTAGAGATTTTTTTTTTCTGGGAGAGTGCATGTGATCACCACAGGGCCAATCAGCACTGTCCAGACAGAGGTCAGGGGTTCTGCATCTTCCTAGAGCAGAAAGAAAACTCCTCCTACAAGCTTTAACCAGGGTTCTGCTGGACACTGATAAATGTCAGAAGACTGCTCTAACTGCTAATGAAAAAAGGTATTTAGCAGTTTATATTTACTAGTATTTACTAGGATAATTGCAGTTCCATGTTCTGTGTACTGTGGGAGACCAGATATAGTGAATGCAGGGCCCTGGGTTTAATAACACTTTAAGGCCAAACCTGCTTTCTTTCCTATAGTCAAACCATAGAAGTACAGAAATCAGACAAAAAATTGCATTAAAGAGTACACAATCATTTCAAGTGTTGATAAAAGGTCATGTAAAAAATAGCCAACACATTTTGGAGGCAACAACACTCCCCTTTCATTAGGGCTTAACACGGGATAAAAGTTTGATGCACTCAAAGAAAACAGCGACTTCACAAAACTATACTAGAACCAGTATTGAACTCTCCTCATGGAAGAAAAACTTGACAACAGTTGCTGGGCAGCATCGGAGAATTAAGCATTGTGAAATATTCTGGCAATTGGTGCACTCTAGACTTGTTTTTTAGTGTGCAGCAGCTGCCATAAAAGGGTAGGTGCTGGTTACTGGTCAAACAGACTGTCACTATATTATCTATTCCCATAAAATTATATGTGTATTTAGCATATTTCTACATGTTATTTACCTGTAAAAGTCATTTTTTTGTAGTTAAGACCTGAGAACACTGTTGGGTGCCACCACTTCGAATGTGATTTCCAGTAGAGCTGCCTTTCACCTGGCTCTCTATAGTATTTCATACTTGGCTCCTTCCCCAGAAAATGCATAAAAGGTTATGTAGAAATCTGAGGGCCAGAAGAGCTTGGTCAGCACAAAATATATTTGAAAATCCAAGAAGAGAAGTCTGTGATGGCCAAGGTGGGAGGTGCAGTGCTAGGGATTTAAATCCCCAATGTAGACATTTTTTTCAGCACATTAAAAGGCACATTTCACTTTTACTTTTTAAGGACTATATAACCCATGGTATCTTGCTGCCTGCAAGACATGGTGGTGTGGTATGTTTCCTGTACTGACTCTGCCTCCTAAAAATCCTCTTTTCAGTTCCATAGTTCAGAATGCAGGCTCTGTGAATTCTGTGGCACAGTCTTCTCAAGTGGCATAGTGAATATGTGTCACAGAACTTAAGAAATAAATTAGTGGGATTCTACCAAAAAGAACATTTTCAAACTTAAAAATATTTCAGATTAATAGGAGAAGGCTAGAAATATTTTAAATTCAGTGTGAGAGTTTTGTTTGAAGCAGAGCTATACAATTTGTACTTCTGAAACTATGATACCTAATTGTTTCATGTACAGTACCAAACCTGTCATGCCATGAATGGTGATCTGTGTACTACTATTTTTGTGCATTTATGTAAATTTATATTTAATATAGCAATAAAACTCTTTTAAAAAAAAGGAATACAATGTGGAAATTAATACATGAATTTACATTTTAAGCAGTGCTAGGACAAGGTCACCTAGAACCCAGAGCAAACATGCCAATCCAAGATATTTGAGCATTATGTGTGAGCAAACATTCTCCTGCCCCCAGAAAATTTTGAACTAATCTGCATGCTTACCCTCTAAGCATAACCCCCCCCCCTAAGACAAACCTGCCCCCTTGCTGAAATTCATCCTCCCAGCACAAATCTTCGACCCCACCCCCGTAGCTCAAATCTTGTCTGTCCCGAAATACCCCCAGGTAAAAAAAATCACACCTACTAGTACAAATTCACCCGCCCCAAAAAAAAGTTTTTTCTCCGAGCACAAATCTCCTCCCCCCTCTACCATATCACCTCTTCTAGTACAAACCACCCAAATCCCCCCCCCAGCACAAATTCTCTCCCCCCCCTCCACAGAAAATCCCCCCAAATCACTACGTCTAGCATACAACCCCAAATTTCCCCTCCTGGAACAATTATTAACCCCTGCTGCCCCTCCAGATTCCCTCTTCCAAAAAAATCCCCCCAATCTCCATCTCCTTGTGGCACCCCCCCCCCCACATCACATGATATCACAGTGGCCTGGGCAATCATCCTTCCTGCCCACCCCTAATCCCGGCCATGATTTTAAGTGCCCCTTAACAGTTTGAGGTGATCAGGCCAGTAAGTCTTTTATTTTTCATCTTCCTTTAAAGGATTATTTCAAATAATCTAAGATGTAAATGTAAAAAGGATCAGCTTGATGTAAATAATGGTGTTAATGTGCTAATATTTTTTTAAAAATCTTTATTTTTTGTGCATTATTTACAAATTTACATGGAGTCAAGCGCATTTTCATAGATTGAAAATTGGCAGAAAGCAAGAATTACAGATTCAGGCTATACTTCTTGCTTGCAGTGCTACACAATGCTTATAATAGACTCCTTCTAACAATGCAAACATGAGTTGGCACTGGCAGACTCACTAAAAGCCCTACACCCCCCATGGGGTTGATGTCTCAGCAGCTGTTAAGCAGGGAGACTAAATGATGATAGGTCAAATAAAGAGTTCCCTCTAGTGGTTAATTCACAAATCACTATGTTCATTGTGACAAAAATATGAAAGAACAAGCATATGTATAACTCACATCATGTGTTACTCTAAGGTAAACACACTGCAGTAATAACTCAGAATACATGCTCACTGAAAATACATTTTACATTAATAAGCTATAAACACAAGCTCTTGCTACCTCTGCTTCTGCATGCGCTAGGAGTAATGAACTGCTCAGTATTGATCCCTAGGAGAATGATCATAATGTTTAACAAGATATCTTAGGGTGTTTGGAGGAAGTAGAAGAGCACAATACTGTTTCATGCAAATATAATAGCCTTCTTTTTGATTGTAATTTGGCTTTGAAAAATGTAATGCATCAATGTTGGTCAAGTTTAGTATTTTGTAAGCTTGTGTAATGACTATTTAATACCTAATAAGGGAAAAAATATTTTCAGACAGATTCTTGTAGTATTCACAGGACTTTTTGCAAGTGCATTATTTTATTTATCTACAGTCAGGTCCATAAATATTGGGACATGGACACAATTCTAACATTTTTGGCTCTATACACCACCACAATGGATTTGAAATGAACAACAACATGTGCTTTAACTGCAGACTGTCAGCTTTAATTTGAGGGTATTTACATCCAAATCAGGTGAACGGTGTAGGAATTACAACAGTTTGCATATGGGCCTCCCACTTGTTAAGGGACCAAAAGTAATGGGACAGAATAATAATCATAAATCAAACTTTCACTTTTTAATACTTGATTGCAAATCCTTTGCAGTCAATTACAGCCTGAAGTGTGGAACACATAGACATCACCAGACGCTGGGTTTCATCCCTGGTGATGCTCTGCCAGGCCTCTACTGCAACTGTCTTCAGTTCCTGCTGGTTCTTGGGGCATTTTCCCTTCAGTTTTGTCTTCAGCAAGTGAAATGCATGCTCAATTGGATTCAGGTCAGGTGATTGACTTGGCCATTGCATAACATTCCACTTCTTTCCCTTAAAAACTCTTTGGTTGCTTTTGCAGTATGCTTTGGGTCATTGTCCATCTGCACTGTGAAGTGGCATCCAATGAGTTTCGAAGCATTTGGCTGAATATGAGCAGATAATATTGCCCGAAACACTTCAGAATTCATCCTGCTGCTTTTGTCAGCAGTCACATCATCAATAAATACAAGAGAACCAGTTCCATTGGCAGCCATACATGCCCACGCCATGACACTACCACCACCCATGCTTCACTGATGAGGTGGTATGCTTAGGATCATGAGCAGTTCCTTTCCTTCTCCATACTCTTCTCTTCCCATCACTCTGATACAAGTTGATCTTGGTCTCATCTGTCCATAGGATGTTGTTCCAGAACTGTGAAGGCTTTTTTAGATGTCGTTTGGCAAACTCTAATCTGACCTTTCTGTTTTTGAGGCTCACCAATAGTTTCCATCTTGTGGTGAAACCTCTGTATTCACTCTGGTGAAGTCTTCTCTTGATTGTTGACTTTGACACACATACACCTACCTCCTGGAGAGTGTTCTTGATCTGGCCAACTGTTGTGAAGGGTGTTTTCTTCACCAGGGAAAGAATTCTTCGGTCATCCACCACAGTTGTTTTCCGTGGTCTTCCGGGTCTTTTGGTGTTGCTGAGCTCACCGGTGCGTTCCTTCTTTTTAAGAATGTTCCAAACAGTTGTTTGGCCACGCCTAATGTTTTTGCTATCTCTCTGATGGGTTTGTTTTGTTTTTTCAGCCTAATGATGGCTTGCTTCACTGATAGTGACAGCTCTTTGGATCTCATCTCGAGAGTTGACAGCAACAGATTCCAAATGCAAATAGCACACTTGAAATGAACTCTGGACCTTTTATCTGCTCATTGTAATTGGGATAATGAGGGAATAACACACACCTGGCCATGGAACAGCTGAGAAGCCAATTGTCCCATTACTTTTGGTCCCTTAACAAGTGGGAGGCACATATGCAAACTGTTGTAATTCCTACACCGTTCACCTGATTTGGATGTAAATACCCTCAAATTAAAGCTGACAGTCTGCAGTTAAAGCACATCTTGTTCGTTTCATTTCAAATCCATTGTGGTGGTGTATAGAGCCAAAAATGTTAGAATTGTGTCCATGTCCCAATATTTATGGACCTGACTGTACTTCATGGGTAGTTTCATTAATGCCATTTATACAATTTGTAGTTTTAGTCCACAAATTAGTCAAACTATCAGCCATCTCAGCCATGCTTAACTCACAAATCCTCTTGAAATTACTATGCACCACTATGAACAAGAAGCAAATTCACTTTAAAACAAGATATTATTAACCTCTACAGCTAAAGGAATTGTGGAGAAATTAAAACCCCTCTCTGACATCTCGCTCTCACCCCCCCTTTCTTTAGTTTAAAAATATATAGCTAAATGCCCTTTTTACTTACCTAACATAACACCTCCAGTCCAAAGTCTTCTACTCTTCTGTTTACCTTCTTAATGGGTCTTTCATTAGGTCATATAGACACTTCCTATTGATTGCACAGTCCTGAATTATACTAACATCAGTGGTGGGGACTAGCAGTCTTAAAGGTACAGTTCAGCACTGGATCAGCAGTCCCCCACACCCAGAAATGGCAATGTCCAGGAACCAGGATGGGTCTTAGATGAAGAAGACCAGGTAGAGAAATTA